CTCCATTCTCTGTCAGTTTTCTCACTCCATTTGGTGCTTGGCTGAGTTCTTTATCTCTTCATTTGATGTTTTAGGGTTTCAGGATTGTTGTTTTCTCTGTTCGGCTTAGTTTTTCAGATCTTTGCTGTGGAGGGACGGCATGGTGCTTTTGCCTAGAGCACCATTTTGCCGGAAGTCTCCTAATGTGCAAGTTTTATAGGAGGCCAAACCCATTGTCACTGAGTCGATTCTGACTCACAGCGACCCTATGTGACAGAGTAGAACTGTCTCAGAGAGTTTCCAAGGAGTGGCTAGTGGATTCGAACTGCCAATCTTTTGGTTAGCAGCTGAGCTCTTAACCACTGTGCCACCAGGGCTTCTTATAGGAGGCACATTCTGAAAACAGAATGTTAAGAAAAAAAGAAAAAGTTTCGTTCTCATCTCTTCCTTCATGAGAAAAAGCTGTGGGGAAGCATAAGCCCTCTGGCACCTGGTGGGAAAAGAGGAACTGAAAGGGGATAAAGGGAGTCTAAGAGGAAATAGAGAGGGTGACACAGACTAACTTCAGCACCGCCCCCACCCTCCCATTTCACCCAGGGTTGGTACTAATCTCACAGGGAAGTGAGGGTTAAGATATCTGCAGGTCAGACAGAAAGTACAAATTCAGTGCATTTGACTCAGAAACGAGGCACAGCTGCCCAAAGCAGATAATAAATATAATCACCCTGATCTAATTCAGACTGAGGCCCCAGGGTTCAGTCACTTCTAGCTGAGAAGGCCTCCTATCATTGGAAGAAAGCCTACATGTGGCAGTTGCTAATGGTTCTCTAAGTGTCAAATATGATCAACTTACGAATGAGCCTAGGAAGCAGGGAGTTACAAGGAGAAGGAGGTGATCAACAGCAAATGCTGTTGAGAGATTTTGACAAAAAGGAAGTCAGTACTGATCTTTTAGAGAAGTGTTTCTGGAGTGTGATGAAGATCAAAGCTAATCAGTTGCAAAGAGCTAGGAAAGGAAGGCGCATTTAGGAAGTGTAGCCAACAGGCATGAACTATGTGTTTCAGAGGCTTCAGAGTGCCAAAGAGTGAAAAAACTGTGGGGTCAAGTGAAGGCCATTCTGCTTATTTTTTAAGACATGGAGATTTGTTTAAACAACAGGTTTCTCTACAAAGAGGGAGGGAGAGATTGAAAATGCTTTAGGAATCCCTACAGCTCTAATCTGAAGCAAACAAGACAACCGTACAGCCTCAGGCCTCTAAGGAACTCAAATATAAGTAGAATGAATTCCTATTTTTTTAAATCCAACAATTCTTAAAATAATAATAGTAATGTATCCCTCTAAGATTTAAAAATAAATAAATGGCCTTGTTTATTTCATATGAATTCTGCATAACAAGGCAAAAAAAGGGGGGGCTGATTAGTTTTATCTCCAAGAAAGAAAAGTTAAGGGACTTTTGCCTAGGATTTTGTAACCCCTGTTAAAATTGTGAAGAATTGGTTTATACTTCAAGGCAATAAACACTGACTTGTTATATTGGCTTATTATATCCCCCATATCACTGAGTAAATGTTATAAGAGATATAAAGATGTTCAAGGCAAGCTCTTTGCCCTCATTTCTGTCTTCCATTGACTTGAAGGAGACTTCATTTGCAGGCCAAACTTTTACAACTTGAAGGAGACTTCAAGTCAGTGGAGAAGACAGAAAGTGCATAAATAACTTGAACATAAAAGCCACTGTGATTAATTAAATAAAGGGCTGAAGATACTCATTAAGGAAATAAAAGAAAAAGAGGTTAGTTCTGGAATAAGGGAGCTGAGATGTTTTCTTGAAGGACAGATGGATTTAAGTTGGGCTTTAAAGAAAGCATAAGAGTTTCCTAAGCAGAAAGGGCAGGGCCAGAGAGGGGGTAGGAGAAGGTGCTGTTCAGATGGAATCCAGGCAAGAGGAAAAAATGAGCAAAACCAAGTATAAAGACACTCTAAAAAATTTTAACAAACAAAACAGTTTTCATGGAGTTGATTCCAACTCATGGTGACCCCATGTGTGTCAGAGTAAAACTGTATAGGATTTTCAATGGCTGTTTTGTCAGAAGTAGATCACCAGGCCTTCCTTCCGAGGCACCTCTCAGTGGACTTGAAACTCCAATCTTTTGGTTAACAGCCTAGCAACTAAGTATGTTAACTACACCACCCAGGGACTCCTGCAAGAAATCCCAAGCAGCCTAAAAAGACAGTCCAAGTATCCACTGTACCAAGCTGGACTTCACTAAGTCCAAGCCTCCTCGATGGAAGACCCCTGCCTCTAGGCCTTTCTGTCTAGTTCATTCTTATATTATTATTCATGCCAGTATTTCCTAAGCTCAATATTTCAGTTCTAGGGCCTATTTTTTTTCCCATTGTATTCATAATGCAAAAAGAGGAAATAACTCATCTAGTGGTGGGGATTTCTTAGTAGGGTTTTGAAGAGAGATGCTGGGGGTGGCTGACTCTGCCAAAATGTTTCCTTTTTCTCTTGCTGTTTGTCAGATATTGATGTTGAGCAACACTGGTGAGTGTCATCAACGTGCAATCTCATCTGATTTATCTTCCTTTACTCACTCAAACTCAGCCCTTTGCCTCTTTTTTTCTCTGGCTCATTTCACAACCTCTTACCTTTAAGTGCTGAATAAGTGCAAAACATTTGTGGATCTGGCATCAGATACCGTAATCTTCAACAGAAAGCATTGGCAGTCACAGGGATGGCTGCAGCTGCCTCAGATGCCGTAATATTTTGCTTTGCCATTATTTCATTTAAAAATTTACATTTCCAATTTTCTCGTAGATTCAGATTCCAAACAATACTTCCTCATGGCAGCCTTTACTTCCAGGTCACTCGGTTTGGAAATGTGGATGACTGAAATAAAAAACACTCTTACAAACTCTTCAGAGTTTGAATGTCAGTCTCTGCCAAAGACCCTAAAAAGATTCCACAGCAATAAACCATTGACGCGAATATAAACAATGGGATACATGAGTCTATTGGGATCCTAAAAGGAACCTGGGTGGCACAAGCAGTTTGTGATTGGCAGCTAACCTAAAGGTTGGTGGCTCAAATCCACCTAATGGTTCTGCGGAAGACAAGACCTGGCGATCTGCTTCCATGAAGATTACAGCCAAGAAAACCCTATGGAGAAGTTCTACTCTGTCATACATGGGGTTGCCATGAGCCGGGGTCCGACTCCCATGCAGCTAACAACAACAATGGGATCCTAAAACTGACTTTCAATCACACAGATAGAGCAAACTAACTTCATTTGCAGGCCAAAACTTTTACAACATTTTAGAGGCAGGCCCACTGTGGCTACTTCCTCTGCCCAGCTCGCACAAACACAGGGCCTTTATAGTTTATCCCCAAATCAACCTGCCTTCCCTTCTATCATCCAAGAAAACTTCCTTCCCACTCCTACCACTCATGCTTCCGCCCCTCTACCCCCCACCCCGCAAGTTTCTCTTCTCTGCAACAATCTCCATGTGAAGAGAAAATGGTTTAAAGTTTGTTGGAGGTTTCTGGAGAAGAATTCCATATCTCATTTTTAAATAAGTATATACTGTTTTATCCTAGTGAGACATATAACTGCACTACAAAGTTTTTAAAAAAGCAAGTGAGAAAAACAAGGCAGTCTATAAAAGCTATAATCATACTTTGCCCTTCCACACCGGCACCCAGGTTTTTACACTGAGCATAGACTCACAAACAATGCATCAGCAAGTATTTTAAAGCATTCAGTTGAACTAGGAATAACAGTAAATACATTAAAAAAGTTTCTAGGACCTGCTTCCATTCTCATGGATACACTCTCCACTGAAACTATTATCTTTTTATGTAAATATCTTCTCCTGCCCCCATATCCTGAACTGGTCAAACCCTGGGAAGCCACTTGCTGGCTTTGTCAACATACAAAGGAAGCACCTGCTGTAAGATATTTCCTGCCTGAGACCATCTTCACTTCCAAGTTTGCTGTTGTATCTGCAAAGTCTTCAATGGTATTTGGGTCTTAGTAGGAGTTCAGTAAATATTTGTTGAATATTGAATGAATTAACAAAAAAGTTAAAAGAAAAGTTACATTGTTGGTGAAGTGTTCTCTTAACTGCCTACTACCAGTTGCTGTCTAGTCAACTTCCACTCATGGCAGTCCCATGTGTGTCAGAGTAGAACTGTACTCCATAGGGTTTTCAATGGCTGAAAAGTGCTTCTGGGTGGGTTGGAACCTCCAACTTTTTGGTTAGCATTCTAGCATATTAACCAACTATTTGCACCACCCAGGGACTTCCTTAACTGCGTACCTTGCCATAATCCAGGCTTGACTTCACCACTGGTCTCTTTATTGCTTTTTACTTCCATTGGAGCTCCCAGTATTTCCAACATTTTGAGCCTTAGCCTGGATTTGGCCCACAGACGCTAATCAGATTAACAATTTTTGTAGGTATCACATTCAGGCAGTTTGTTAAAATGGCTTCAACACTTCACTACTTGGCTTACCTTTGTTCTCACAGTTCTAAATTCTAGAACTACAGTGACAAAAGTCCATATATATGTATGTATATAGATAGATAGATAGATAGCATGATGATATAAAAGGGGGAAAACTTGAGGGGTTATTAATTGTGGCAGCCAGTCTTCAAGATGGCCCCCAGTAAACCATGCTTCCTGGTATCCATGGTTTTGTATAACTGCCACTTCTTGAATGTGGACTGGACTTAGTAAAATGCTTCTAATAAATTAAATAGGA